GGGATGCAATTTGCTTTTGCATGTAATTATGTGTGGCACAGAATAGCTCAACAACATGGGTTCCTCTTTATATGAAATGCGACAAAAGTTCTGGTCCTGAGAACCTCTGGCGTAGTGATGCTCCCTGTTTTCCTGCCCCTGCCTTTCCCAGCCATTGCTCTGAAGGGGAACTTGACCTTTGTCTCCTAATTCAGCCTAATTCAACCTCAGCTTTTATTTCCTCACTCAGCACAAGGAGAGACTGACCTCAGGACCCTCAGCTTGTATTCGACGTTGGGAATGTGCTAGTGAGCAGTGACTTGAAAGTAGTGTGTTTGATTCATCCTCTTTTTTTTTTTAGACTGGGAAAACTATAACTTCATTAAAGGGGTCTGCAACAGAAGACAAAAAAGATCCGTAATTCTTCCTGACTCAGTCTTAATGACTGATCAGGTTGGCTACTTAACCACAATGAAAGCCCCCCACCCACCCCAGCAGGATATATCAGAGGGCCACACTTAAGGTATTTTTCATTTCAGATCTTCCTAGAAATAGCCACCTGAGTTGGATAACTAAGCAATTGAGTGCCTCGTTTCTGAAGTGGCTCTGTGTTTTACACATTAGATACTTTGGGCTCTGGTTGTTGGAATTTTGCAGGGTGCGGTCTGGGCTTGCAATAGAGCTAGGGTTGCAGACACTAAGCGTTTAACATTTCATTCAGGAGCAAAGGAAACACTTAATGCATGTCAAAAATAATGATTCTTTAGGAGAATATGTAACCATATCATAGAGCAACATATTTCAAAGCACAGGATTTATTTCTTAGTGTCCTTCCCTAACTGCATTCATACTCTTCCCAGAATTATAGGGAATACTTACAATTTAATGACAGTGTGACGTTTTATCCAGTTTTATTTGTACTGTTAAGTTAGTATCTCTCTTTGGCACATAATCTCATTTAGTGCTTGTTTTCAGGCTTTTGCTATTTATTAATTGCTCATTAGAATAATATCTTGTCCCCAGATTGTGTTATCAGGATGGTGGTGTGGCTTTATTAGAGATACAATAATTTTTTGAACTTTCATTTGTCAGTTTTTACCTCCATGTTTCTCAAAGTCCTGAAGATCATATACCGCAAAAACTCAAAGCTAACCACTATTAGTTAGCTAAAAGTTTATTATGAAATGATCCTCTAGACCAGTGCTTCCCAAAATGAAAATTGGGAAGTTGACCAGAACAGTTGGTCTTTCTGACAGGGACATAGTCTCCGTATCCAAGTTAAACTTAGTCTCTTTTCTCAGACCTACCTCTCAACCCACACTCTTCCATCTGATCAGAGGGAACTGCTGTCTTCCTGGCTCTTGGATTCCTTTTTGCTGTTACTTGTCAGAGCCCATGTATTAGCTTGAGTAGCACTGGGGGTGTGGCAGCATGGCTTTCCTTACCCCTTCCCATCCCACTACCCAGGTTAAGGCCTATGTAAATTGTTTTCTCTGTAGTCTTTCCCCTGGCTTGTCTCACTCACTGCTTAAACGCCCTGTAGACTTCTTTCTACAACATTGTCTTCTTTACCACACTCCTCATGGAGACCCCAGTGTCTCTAGGATGGTGCTTCTCTGGACCAGAATTCCCTGACAAACTTGCGGAAACATTAATTGCTGGATCATACCTCCAGAATTTCTGATTCACCCTCAGTACTTCTCTTTGCTAACAAGGGCCTAGTGCCCCCTAGACTACAGGCTCTAGGAGGAACTCTTGCTCCATTGGTTCCAGGCCTACTCCCTTCTGTCCATTTCTTTTCTTCTTTTATTTTTACCTACCCCTTTGGTTCTAGGGCCAGGCATGTGCTCTGCTGCCAAGCTACGTCCCCAGCCCCTGCCTGTCCTTTGTGAGTTCGTCCATATTCTTCTCAGCCAGTGCCCCTTGGAGTCTCTTTGCGAACAAACTCATGTCTTATTTACTGGATTTCCTTTGGCCCCATTTATAGCGATAAGAACCCCTCTGCAGAATGAAGAAAGCAGTATTGCTTTAAAGAGCTTCTAATGAGAAATGACCCGAGTGAGTTAATGTCATGATGAGAGGTAGGGGAGGTGTCACCTTAAGCAGAGTCATGAGGCCTTCCCCAGCTGGCCAGGCTGCCTGTACCTCTAGGCTGCAGCAGAGTGGGTAGAACCCTGGCCTGGAGCAAGGGATTTGTGGCAGTTGGCTCTTGTGCACCATGCACACCTCTTGTCTTTATCACTGCTTACTCTTCTGGTGTCTCTGTCATTCTGTGCCCTTTCCATTTCCCTTCCTACCTTAGCCTTGGTGCCCTAGATGTTTTTGATTTACCGAGACTGAAGAGGTTTCTGATGCTTACTGGAAAACTACAAGGGCTAGGGATTTAGCTCAGTGGCACAGTGCCTGCCTAGCAAGTGCGAGATCGTGAGTTCGATTCCCGGTACCAGAAAAAAAAAGGAAACTACAAAATTGCTTCTGAATTTGAGTCTATTTGTTGAAGGAAAAATAGAGTTCATGGAGTACTTACTTTTGGTTAGTACATTATTGGGTATGTGATTAATAGTCTATACATTCATATTTTGCAACAGTGATTTTATTTAACTGAAGCAAACCCTGGAAGTGAACATAGAGAATCTCCATTTCGTGAAAAAGAACAAACTCAGATTAACAGACATTAATAATAATTAACTGACATTATTTAGCTGACACATAATTAACTGACATTAATAATAATGTTTGATTCAAAAATAAACAGATTTTTCCATCTTTATGACATAAACTGTAACTTCTTCGCTTTTTAAAGTACAATATTAAGCCAGACATAGTGGCACACTCATAAAATCCCAGCACTTAGGGGCTGAAGCAGGAGAATCACCATGAGTTGAAGGCCAGCTTGGGCTACACAGTGAGTTCAAAGCTAGCCTGAACTATATAGCGAGACCTTGTCTCAGAAAAACTAAAAGAAAAATAAGAGTACTATAGTATAGCTGATAATTGTGCTTGCAATCGTGACATAGATATTAGAAAGTTTCTGCCAAGATAGAGAAGATAGTGTGATGATTAGCATATATTATTGGGTCATATTTATTCCTGAAAACTATTTGCAATATCAGATGAAAAGGTAAACAAGGCCTGTGGGTGTAGCTCAGGGATAGAGTACTTGCCCAGTAGGCACAAGGCCCTAGGTTTGTAATGTAAACAAACAAACAAAGAGTTAAACACTCATGTATAGTCGCAGGTACTGAAAAAATATATTTAAATGTATAAGCATAGGGGAAAGTTTGAGAGTAACTTACCAAACTATTGGTGCTAGTCATTTTTCCTTGATACACTTTTGAACTATTTAAATATTTTTAACAGCAATATAAATTATAAAGAGGGAAAAGCTTATAGGATGAGGCTTGAACAATCCTAATTTTTTTAAAAAAAATCCAACCTGGGAATGTGCCATAACAGTTTCCTGGTGTATATGAATTCCTGTGTTTGATTTCCAGCACTGCAAAAACAACCCCTCCACAAAAAATTTCATGAAATATATTCCCTTATTCAGGGTCTCTGTGTTGGTGCTTCCCTGGGCTCTACCCAGCCCTGCTGTTTTCTCCTGTGCAGACTCCCTTTTCTTTGAGACCTTGCTCTTTGACCCCTGTTTCATGGAGTCATCCCTGTTTCCTTTCATCAAACCTCAAGCCAGAAGTGACCTTTTGTACAATCCTTTCTTGTGGTGCAGAAGTCCTTACATTACAGTCTCATTTTCCAAGAGTCTCATGTTTGCAAATGTGAAGGCCCTGCCCTGAAATTTAAAAGAAGTAGGCCCGGGGGCTGGGGATTTAGCTCAGCGGCAAAGCGCCTGCCTGGCAAGCGCAAGGTCATGAGTTCGGTTTCCGGTACCAGAGAAAAAACAAAAAACAAAAAACAAAAAACAAAAAAACCCCAAAAATACCCAAAAAAAAAAAGTAGTTTAAAAGAAGTAGGCCCTAACTTGAGCTTTTATCAGTCTGTAGAAAATTGATTTGAGGTTCCTATGGATACCTGGACCCCTCCTAGTATCTCGGGGGCCCAGGAGGGCTCAGCAGCTACCCCTGCTGCTGCATGAGCCTGAGAGTTGCCGTCGCTCCGTGGCAAGGAGTTCATGTACATTGCAGATATGCCTAGGAACCAACAGATGAAGACAGTTTAGAGAAAGGTGCTCAGTGACTTCAAACCTGTACCCCGTCCATTTGGTTGCAAATAAAACCAAAAAGGCTTGTCTCTGCTCATCCAAGACACTGAAGTTCCTAGTGGATTATATTGCTGCTGCTGAGAGATGAAACAGGAGAAATAATTTCAAGAAGAATGTTGATGATATTATAGTGGGAAAACTGATGTATCTTTTCCACCAGATCTGAGCAGGGCTGTCCTCTGTGGTACTGATGCAGCGGTCTGAGAATTGTCACTGTGTGTGTGTGTGTGTGTGTGTGTGTGGCGGTAGCATGTTCCTGTTGTCCTCTCACTCTTTTTAGCTTTGTCTGGTAGGATATGTGCTACAGGCCTGTGAGCCACTTTTCTCTCCCCATGGTTTTCCCCCCAGCGATCCTTGTCATGGCCGTGTTGTCTTAGCTTTGCTTTTCTGAAACCTGCATTTATTGTACCATAGGTGAGTAGTTGATTTATATGAGCACGTCAGCAAGTCCTGTACCTTCTTCACTTAGTGAATACACTCTGCGTAGCGGGTGACAGGGATACCATGTGGGCATGTTAGGCTTTTTATTCGTGTGTGCTTAACTGACAGAAATTACATGTATTTACGGTGCACAACAGAAGGAATAGGTTCAGGAAATCTATTATACCAGATGATTACTGTAGTTATTATAATGGATTATGTATTTGAAAATTGCTAAGAGAGGAGATTTTAAGTGTTTCTGCCACAAAAAACGTAAGTAGGGGAGGGAGTGTATGCTCCCAGTAATCAGCTTCCTTTAGCCATCAGAACATCATGTCAAAGGGTTTTTATTTTTAATGTATTTCTCTGTCTTTTTCAACAGGGTAGTGATGGCGCTCGAAGGTCCACGCTCCTTGACAGTGACGAGCCATTGGTGTACTTCTATGACGATGTCAGAACATTATATGATGTTTTCCAAAGGGGCATTCAGGTGTCAAGTAAGCCTGTTGCCTGCATTTGTGTGCTTGTTGCTTAATGTGTCTCTTTAAGAAAGAGTGGCTGGAGTCCAGAAAGGCACGTTTGCACAGATCTTTCACCTGTGCGGCACTACTTGTTCCTCTCCCCTTCCGTAGTTTGTCTGTAGCCAGTCCCGAAGCTCACTGTCCCCACCTGTGCACCCCTAACTTTACGGAGAGTCCTAACGGGCTCTCATGTTTCTTGCAGCAAAGAAGCCTGTTCAGTTTGGCTTAGTGCAGTGTCATTTCAAGTTTACTGGATCCCAAGACCCTTATTTTGAGAGAGTGATATCCCAGGGAAGTGGTGCCCTATCACAGACACTTTGGAAATGTTGGCTTATGGGGTACCCTTAGTTATTAACTGTGGTGTGAGACACCCTGAGATCTGTTACCCATCTCCTCCCTGCCAGGTCCCCCTTGAATATTCTAATCGAGCAAGACCTTGGCTCTCTCCAACCCCCCAACCTTTACATGCTTTTAAAAGTTTTTCCCATTATAAAGCCTGTTCTTTCCAACCCCAGCCAGGGTTAATTCTCATTAATCTTTATTTTTCTTCAGTACTGGGTATTGAACCCAGGTCCTTCAATTTGAAATACACTCCCAGCCCTTTTTATTATTTTGAGGTAGGGCCTCGCTAAGTTGCTCAGGCTGGGCTTGAACATGTGACCCTCCAGTTTCAGCCTCCCACAGTGCTAGGATTACAGGTGAATACCACACATCTGGCTTCTTATCAACCTTGTAAAACTCATGTTGCATTTTGCCTTTCTATAAAATCCTCAGTCTGTCATTTCTGCCCACTACCCCCACATAGGCTCTCTCCCCTTTCCTGTCTCGGCATCTTAACCTACTTGAATAGTAACCCCTCATGGCATAGAGGTGTGTTTTTTTTTTTTTTTTTTTTTGGTTTTTCTCCGGTACCGGGAACTGAACT